ATGGAGCAACTGGGCCCACGTGCCACAACTACTGAGCCTGTGCTCTGGAGCCCAGGGGCCGCAGCAATTGAGCCCACATGCTGCAACTACTGAAGCCTGTGCCCCACAGCCCATGCTCTGCAACAAGGGAAGCCACCGCAGTGAGAAGTCCACCCACAGCAACTAGAGAGCAACCCCCACTCGCTACAACTAGAGTAAAGCCCGGGGATCAACGAAGAACCAGCACAGCCAAGAGACAGTCTCAGAATGCGAATCATTTACTCAAGAATATCTTTTAACATTCTAGGCCTCATGGTGCCAATTCTTCTTTAAGTGCTCTCATATACAGTATCTTAAGAGATGCACAAAGGTGTTATGAGGTGAACAGAGGCAGATCCTAGTATTCCTATATTATAGGTGAGGAAGCTGAGACTCACAAAGAAAACTAAAGAACTAAGGCAAGAAGTCCCATTTCTCCATTCTCTGCCCCCAGGAGGTTCTAGAGACTAATGAAGACAGAAACTACTCTGGCTTGCAAAATATCAGGAAGCTTTGGGGACCTTATAATATCCTCAGATATCTTAGAGTCATAATCATTGGAGCTAACATTTATGGAGGGATTACTGCGGCCAGGCACCGTGCCAAGCACCTGTGTAACACCTCACCCACAACTCTGTGGGGCGGATGCCAACCCGAAGTTACAGGGCATGAAACAGCAGAGAAGTCCAACAACTTGCCAGGTCACACAGCCTGGGGCTGGTAAGTGAACTGAGGCTCTGTGGCTCCAGGGCTCACTCTTGCTCTTAAACATCTTGCCATTCTGCCTCCTCAGGGAAAGTGATCAGGGTAAGGATTGCAAGCAGAAGTGGATTTTAAGCAGCCACTGACAGCTGATGGGCCTGCCCATTCTAGGGAGAAGTGTTCTCTCAACCCTAATTTCATTTGAGTGACCCCCTTTTTAAGACATGCTAACCCTGAAGTATAGAACCAAAAACCACCCAAAGATAGTCTATTTAAGCCCAAAGGAACTTTGAGATGCAGAAGAAAACCCCCCAGCGGTCATTTTGTTTGTTTGTGGTGGTGTGTGTTATCTCTCCTCTCCTGTTGGATCTTGGTATTTATCTTGGCCAACAGGGGTCCTATCCTGGTTTCCTTCCTATGGTGTATTAACAGCACCAGCTGCTTTTCCAGGAGGGCTTAATGTGAAATTGAATGAACCAGAATACCAATATTTTATCATCCTATTGCTTGTCTTTCAAGTAATCAAAAGAGACAGGCTATGATACACATTCAACCATCAGGACTCTTTAGAGATCCTAAGTCTACTGGAGAGAGAGGGCTTATTATTCACATTTAATTAAGGCATAACAGGAAGTCTTAAGTCAGTTACATCCCTTTGAAGGGTAAAAAACCATTTCATTACCCTCTCTGTCCCTCAGCCTGCCCAGACTTATCTTCTTCCCTGTAGGGCAAGACTGGCAGTTCTTACATTATTTCCTTACTGCCCCCTGATAGGTTCAGGTGAGACCTAGCTAATTGGCTCAGCATCCATTACAGCCATGGAGAATCCAGACCCAACAGCCCAATCTCCTCTTTTCACAGCTGAGAACCAAGCTCCCGTCAGTGCAGTGGCTATAAAGGCAGGCAGAGCTGGTGGTGAGTCTGCTTGCCACTCCCCAACCCCCACTGCACACCATATAACCTCAGGCTAATGTCTTCACCTCTGCAGGCCATCATTAACAGTTCTGGCTTTGTTAGACTGTTGTGAAAATAAATAACATAATGTACTTAAAACATTCAGCACACCAGCCTGACACATAATAATCACTCAGTTAACATTATCTATTATCATTACCAAAATTAATACACTGAAAGTGTCTCCATATAAATCTTAAGAGTTAGAGACTAAACCAGCATTACAATCCCGCTATCCTGGGTAGCTTCTGTTCAAACCTTTGTTTATAAATGACTTTTATTTAATTCATAATGCTTCTTTCACCTGTTTGATGCAGAATCTGGCTTTGATAATGCTGGAAACAGAATTCCACAAATATCTTTTCGACTAAATGGGTGGATTTCAATAAACAGTTCAGTTGCTCAGTTGTGTCTGACTCTGTGACCCCATGGACTGCAGCAGTCCAGGCTTCCCTGTCCATCACCAACTCCCAGAACTTGCTCAAACTCATGTTCATTGAGTCAGTGCTGCCATCCAACCATCTCATCCTCTGTCGTCCCCTTCTCCTCCTGCCTTCAATCTTTCCCTGCATCAGGGTCTTTTCCAATGAGTCAGTTCTTCGCATCAGGTGACCAAAGTATTGGAGCTTCAGTATCAGTCCTTCCAATGAATATTCAGGACTGATTTCCCTTAGGATTGACAGGTTTGATCTCCTTGCAGTCTAAGGGACTCGCAAGAGTCTTCTCCAGCACCATAGTTCGAAAGCATCAGTTCTTTGGTGCTCAGCTTTCTTCATGGTCCAACCCTCACATCCATACATGACTACTGGAAAAACCATAGCATTGACTAGACAGACCTTTGTTGGTAAAGTAATGTCTCTGCTTTTTCATATGCTGTCTAGGTTTGTCATAGCCTTTCTTCCAAGGAGCACATGTCTTTTAATTTCATGGCTGCAGTCAACATCTGCAGTGACATCAATGAATTAAAATCATCCAAAAAAACTTCTCAAACACTTTCCACTTTGGAACCTGCTCCCCAAGGACCTGCTTATGAAGAGGAACCAGATGGTGCTACACTTACCACCGTTCCTGCTTCTAAGCCCCTGTGAAAGGGACAGTCACCTGAGAGGCCCCTAGGCCTTTGTTAAACCCAAGAACTGAGCAATGTTTCCTGACTCTTTGGCTCTGTTGGCCCAAGCCCTCCTTTTTAAAAAAAAAATTGAAAGAGGTAATGAGATAACTATAGATTCATATTTGATTATAAGAAACAGATTCCGTGTATGTTTTACCCAATTCCTCCCAATGGTAACATCTTACAACACTAAAATTTCACAACCAGGATACACATTGATACAAGCTATCTGTCTCATTCAGATTCCTCAGGTTTCCCATACTCAGTATGTGTGTATGTGTGTGTATGTGTGCATTTAGTCTATACAACTTACTACATGACTAGATCCCTGTGGCCACCATCACAGCCAAGTTAGTCCATCACCACAAGGATGATGTTTTTCTTTTAAAAACACACCTAGCTACCTCTTCCCCCATCCCCATTCCTAACCCCCTACAGCCATTCATCTGTTCTTCATTTCTGTAACTTTGTCATTTCTGTTACAGAAATGGAATTATATACCTTAAGCAGTTTTGAGGGGATTGGATTTTTTTTCACTCAGTATAATTCCCTTGAGATTCATCCAAGCTCTTACATGTAGTTTGCTTGTTCCTTTTGATTGCTGAGTAGCAACCCATGGTGTGGGCACTCCACCGTTTGTTTAATTATTCACTCACTAAAGGATATCTCCAAACCAAGCTTCCAGTTTGGAGCTATTACAGATAAAGCTGTTATGAACATTCATGTACTCCTCTATCCATTTTCATCACTAATTGATACAGATGCTCTTACTTCACTGAGATCTTTGTTCCTGTGGCTGCAAACATGACTTGTCACCACACCATCCTTTCTGTGCCAGCTCCTAGTGGCTTTGGATAATCTGCCCAGATGCTCCCCTACAGACACTTATCACTAAATGTGCACCTTCAAGCCTTTCTCCTAAAAGAAATAAAATGGAATAAACATGAGTTTGGGAGCCAGACAATGTGGGCTCACCTGGCAGGGGCTCTGCCATTTACCGTGGTGAAGTCTCACGAGAGTCACTTAATGCTCAATCTGTTTCATAATCATAACAAAGTAGCTGATAGCTGGAAAGGTTTCTTTATCAACAGCTTTTGATGGCAGTGTAATGTAATGGCTAAAAACAGGAACTCTGGTACCAAGCTGAGTGGGTTCGAATCCCGACTCTATCCCCTGTTGGGTATGAGATCTCAGGCAAGTTATTTAACCTCCTTCTGCCTCAGTTTTTCCATCAGTAAACAGTTCCTATCTCATGAGAATTAATACACACAAAACAAATGTTCACAACAGTGCTTGGCACATAGCATTTACTAAACATTAGTTCCCACTGCTCTGTGGCAGACACTATTCTAAGCACTTGATGCAGATTATTTTATTTAATCCTATCAATGACTTTATTAGTGCTATTATGAGATCAATTTTACAGATGACAAAGCTGCAATTTTAAGGGATTAAGTCACTTACTCATGATCACATGGTTGGAAGATTAGGTAACTGAGAATCCATTTTGAGCCTCTCTTTACGTCTCACTTCTATGCCACCCTGAAGGCCCATGACCTGGGAATGGCAGTGCCCTGCCTCTAGCAGTTATGAGGATTTACAAAGAAGTGTCTTTCATGGTGCCTGGGAGTCAACCTGCTCCATATGTGTTAGTGTCCCCTTGTAACTACTGGTGGCTGATGAACAATACATCATTTTATACTTCTATATACAGCAGCAACAGGCCTCTTAAGACACAAACCACCAAAACAGAAATTTGAGGGTTTTGAGGATGCACCTTCAAACATTTACAATGTGACCTATCCAACAATCACCACCAGATTTGGGATGAGTCCATCCAACTCAGCCTCAATCCATTACAACAGAGCAGCTGCCTCACTTCTTTCTCAGGTTTTACAGCTACCATGCAGAGATCACTCAGACAGTGGCACCCACGGAGTTCCTACAGGACAGAAGCCACACGTTCTGCAGTCTGCTCCCTGCAGCCCTTATCCCAGTAAACATGCACAGAACCCCAGGGAGGCTCTGGTGTAATGGAGTGACAAGGCCAGCATCCAAAGACGCAGGTTCAAGTCTCCACTGAGCCTTCTATCAAGCCATGTGACTTTGGGGGTCACTTCCTTCTATGAGGCCTCAATGTCCCCCGCTGTGAAATGAGCATTTTCCATCTTGTTGTTGTTCAGTAGCTCAGTCATATCCAACTCTTTGTAACACCATGGAATGCAGCACGCCAGGCTTCCCTGTCCTTCACCATGCCTGGAGTTTGCTCAAACTCATGTCCATTGAGTCAGTGATGCCATCCAACCATCGCTTTCTCTGTCACCCCCTTCTCCTCCTACCCTCAGTCTTTCCCAGTATCAAGGTCTTTTCCAATGAGCCAGCTCTTCACATCAGGTGGCTGAAGTACTGGAGATTCAGCTTCAGCATCAGTACTTCCAATGAATATTCGCAACTGATTTCCTTTAGGATTGACTGGTTTCATCTCCTTGTTGTTCAAGGGACTCTCGTCTTCTCCAGCATCACAGTTCAAAAGCATCTATTCTTTGGCAACTCAGTCTTCTTTGTGGTCCCACTCTCACATCCATACATGACTACCGAAAAAAACATAGTTTTGACCATGTGGACCTTTGTCAGCAAAGCAATGTCTCTCCTTTTGGGCTGGTGCACTGGGAAGACCCAGAGGGATGGGATGGAGAGGGAGGTGGGAGGGGGGATCGGGATGGGGAACCCATGTAAATCCATGGCTGATTCATGTCAGTGTATGGCAAAAACCACTACAATATTGTAAAGTAATTAGCCTCCAACCAATAAAAATAAATGAAAAGTAAAATAAAATAAACCTAAAAAAAAAAAATATGCAGTCCAGGTTTCCATTGATTTTCTTCCAAGGAGCAAGCATCTTTTAATTTCATGGCTGCAGTCACCATCCACAGTGGTTTTGGAGCCCAAGAAAATAAAGTTTGTTCCATTGTTTCCCCATCTATTTGCCATGAAGTGATGTGACCAGATAACATGATCTTAATTTCCTGAATGTTGAGTTTTAAGCCAGCCACACTCTTCTTTCACCTTCATCAAGAGGCTCTTTAGTTTCTCTGCTTTCTGCCATTAGGGTGGTATCACCTGCATATCTGAGGTTATCGGTATTCCTCCCAGCAATCTTGATTCCAGCTTGTGCTTCATCCAGCCCATCATTTCGCTGATGGACCCTGCATATAAATTATATAAACAGGGGCAATATACAGCCTTGATGTACTCCTTCCCCAATTTTGAAGTAGTCTGTTGTTCCATGTCTGCTTCTAACTGTTGCTTCTTGACCTGCATATAGATTTCTCAGGAGGCAGGTAAGGTGGTATTGTTTTTCCAGGTAAGGTGGAAAATTCTGGTAAGAATTTCCCAGTTTGTTGCGATCCACAGTGAAAGGTTTTAGCATAATCAATGAAGCAGATGTTTTTCTGGAATTCCCTTGCTTTGACTATGATCCAACGAACATTGGCAATTTGATCTCTCATTCCTCTGCCTTTTCTAAATCCAGCTTGTACATCTGGAAGTTCTCAGTTCAGTACTACTGAAGCCTAGCTTGAAGGATTTTGAGCATAACCTTCCTACCACATGAAATGAATGCAATTGTTTGGTAGTTTGAACATTCTTTGGGATTGGAATGAAAACTGATCTTTTCCAGTCCTGTGGCCACTGTTTTCCAAATTTGCTGGCATATTGAGTGCAGCACTTTCACAGCATCATCTTTTAGGATTTGAAATAGCTCAGCTGGAATTCTACCACCTCCACTAGCTTTGTCCGTAGTGATGCTTCCTAAGACCCACTTGACTTCACACTCCAGGATGTCTGGCTCTAGGTGAGTGATCTGGATTATTAAGACCTTTTTTGTACAGTTCTTCTGTGTATTCTTGCCACCTCTTCTTAATATCTTCTGCTTCTGTTAGGTTCGTACCATTTCTACTGGTTAGGATTTGGTGCTCTTACTGCTATGGCCCAGGTTCAATTCCTGGTCAGGGAAGCCTTTCTTCTTGAGTTCCAAAGAATAGCAAGGAGAGACGAGAAAGTCTTCTTAAGTGAACAATGCAAAGAAATAGAGGAAAACAACAGAATGGGAAAGACTAAAGATCTCTCCAAGAAAATTAGATACCAAGGGAACATTTAATGCAAAGATGGGCACAATTAAGGACAGAAATGGTAGGAACCTAACAGAAGCAGAAGTTTCCACCTTATATGTTTGATATTCTGGCTCCATATTCTCTAGTAGCAGGAAAGCACTAAGTATCCTTTTCTTTTTCCTTCCCTTGCTCCTTTTTCTTCATTCTTTCTTACAATCAGACAATATTTCCTACCATGTGCCAGACCCAATACCAAGAGCTAGGAATGCAATGGTGAGCAAATCACACACAGAAAAACAGGTACTTAAGTGTTTGTTGATTTACTGAATGCTCTAAACACCTTTATTGTTGTTGTTTAGTCACTCAGTAATGGTCAACCTTTTTGCAACTTCATGGACTGTTGCCCACCAGGCTCCTCCATCCATGGGATTTCCCAGGCAAGAATACTAGAGTGGGCTGCTACTTCCTTCACCAAGGGATCTTCCCAACCCAGGGATCAAACCCACATCTCCTGCACTGGCAGGTGATTCTTTACCACTGATTCTTACCACCTGGGAAGCCACTCTAAACACCTAAAAATACTCAATTCTTACTTTGAAATTTTGCTTCAACATACATGCGAACCATGCAGTTTTCATTATGCTCAGTAATGCACCTGGAGGCAACAAAGGAAGAGCAGGCTGTACTAAAGAGAAGTTCTTCAGTTATGACATAAACAGCCACAATTATGATGTAAACAACTCAGGCTTAAACAAGTTTGGCTGAAATTGGCTGAATTGTCTGGTAGAAACTCTGTGACAGATTACTCCCATTCCCACTTTAAAAATGTACTTTAAAAAATTAAGGATACTGGTACATGTACAGCAGATTTGGGAAAATGACTTCCCTTTAGAACTACCTTAAGAGCATAGCACTGGCCAGTGTGTACACTGGATATAAATGTGGGACTGACATTAGTTTATGAACATTTCTATTTCCTTTAGATCAAATTAATGAAGTCTCTTTCAATCATAGCCTTTAAAAAATTCAATAGTAGGAAGAGGAACATTTACTCTAGTAATAACAGTCAATCTATCAAGGTGCTAAATGAATTGGGAAGAGGTGGGTGGCACATACTAAGACACAGCAGTAAATCTTCGATAGCAGAAAACTTAAAGTAAGTAGCACCAAAAAGGGAGAAGGCAATGGCACCCCACTCCAGTACTCTTGCCTAGAAAATCCCATGGAAGGAGGAGCCTGGTAGGCTGCAATCCATGGGGTCGCTAAGAGTCGGACGGGACTGAGCAGCTTCACTTTCACTTTTCACTTTCATGCACTGGAGAAGGAAATGGCAACCCACTCCAGTGTTCTTGCCTGGAGAATCCCAGAGACAGGGAGCCTGGTGGGCTGCCATCTATGGGGTTGCACAGAGTCGGACATGACTGAAGCGACTTAGCAGCAGCAGCACCATAAAGAGTAGGTATCATCAAGAAACTACATCATGTACTCACTACAAATGGGATAATCAAGCATGTGTCATCCAAAGCCATCACCATAATTCAAGCAGGTTCCAATATGCCCCCTCAACCTACCTACTTCACCTATCAATGAATGTTTATGTTCTTATTTCCTCAACTCTACTACATCAAGGAACTTTCATTCATTATACTCTAGGTGAAGGGTAGGCAACTGTTATGCAGAATCAACTGGCCCTTTCATCACTTCATTGGTGGTCTCCATAATCCACTGGAACACATGTGGGTGGGCAGGTGAAGCTGATGAGAGGGATGAGAGAAAAAGAGGCAGTAAGTCACATTGGCCTTTTGTAAGGTCCAATCTCAAATAGGTGAAGTTGGGGGCTGCAATCTGGACAGATGCATAAACAGCCACTGTTCTATCCCCTCTCTATACCCCTTTCTTAAAGAAAAACCTTAGATATGTTTCCAGATCGAAGAGTAAAAGCTGAAAATTGCCCTTATATGAGAGTCCAAACAGGTAGTAGTCAGCGTGACCAGTTTCCAAACCTTGCTCAAAAGAATACCATGTTCAGTTCAGACAGAGCAACTGAGTTTGAGGCACACATTAGGGCTGGGAACACCAGCTTTATTTACCATAACACAACTGCTTTTCTGAAATTACAGAATTGCTCACTTTGGGAACAGTGAAATGTGTCTATAAAAAAGAATACTCAAAAACTTTTCTCATAATATTAGAAGATAGTATAAGCAGAGTTAACATTTTAGTGATGTTGGTGAACCTTTTGATTCCAAATCTGCCTTGCTTAACAAACTGCCCCCTACCCCAAATAAGGTGACACATAGAAACAGTCTTGATATCAACCTATGTTATAGCTTCACTTTACTATTTCTTTGGTCTGGGAAAATACTGGGGCTTACATTTGGAAAACTAAATAAAAGGATAAACTGACAGAATCATTACATTTTATTTAAAGGTTTAAAAGATATGGAGCAGAGCTCATAAAAGTTACCTGAATCATTAAAAACCACCAAGTTGGAGAACTTTTTTTTAAAAGAGTGGATACCAAAATAGCTGTTAGGACCTATAAATCTTTTAAATTGCTGAAGAAAGCAAAAGAAGTCTTAGAATCTGAAGGATCAAAGTTATATTTATAAACATGCTAAAGAATACATTAAAAGAAACAAAAAAGAATGAAGAAAAATATACTATGTAATCCTATTATACATGAACATTATTTTCATGGGATTCTACAATCCACTTCAACAATATTCAAGTAACAAAATCTTCATTGCTGAAAGAGCTTCAACCTTCCTTTGGAGCTGGCTATTACAGAATTCATCCTTGCATATAGGGTATGCATGAAAAACATCCTAGAAACTCAGAATATCTACGAACATGAAACTGTTTCTGCAAATTGCATTTCTTTGCCTTGAATCTGGTAGAGTGGGAGTCAACAACAACTTGAAGCTTACCATCATGGGATATGAGAGCAACTTGAAGTCAAAGGACACTTTGCTATAGTTAATTAATGTGGCTATAGGTAGGTATATTCTATAAGCTTCTCCTCAATGCCACATATCTACTGAGAATTAAAGAGTAGAGGTAATTTTCTAACCAATTCCAAAAATCCAGGTAATAAAGGGCAATCACTACGGAGTTTATACATACTCAGTTTTCTTAAAAGCCACAGATTTTATTATAGAAAGGAGAAAGAAAATGGCATTAACAGATCAAGCACATGAATTCCAAAATACTGAATTCCTTTTCCTTTTTTTTTAATTTCTTTTCCTCTTGCTTAACAACCAATTATATCCATGGACTATAAAATGACATCCATGACAAAAATTTTAGTGTTTTACATATTGTCAAAGAAAGATCAATATCTTTGCCTGAGTATCCCATTAACTTTCACCTAGAGCTATTATTTTTGAACTGTCTATAAAAATTTCTTTTCAAATAATTTATTAATTATAACAACTGGGAAGAGCAGTGTGAGGACCTGAATACTTCAGTCAAGCAGTGAAGACAACAAACTTCCTTCATATCTGCTCTCCTGCTGGGATTTTTATATACTAAAATAACCTTTCTCCCTCACTTCTGCAGGGCTACCCAGAAGTGAGTGGCATTTCTCAACTATCACAAGTCTCAGGTAGAATCTTCTCTGTTCCTCAATGTTCGGACAAAGGCCTCTGGACATGAAGCTCATGCCTCTGGTAAT